CCCCCCCGGCCAGCTTCCCCCAGTTTCTGTACTGAGCATGACGTCCCATGGTGTGGAATGTCCCTTTGGCCAGTTGGGGTCAGCTGTCCTGGCTGTGCCCCCTCCCAGCTTCTTGTGCACCTCCAGCCTTCTCAGTCGGTAGAGCATGGGGAGCTGAAAAGCCCTTGACTAGTGTCAGCACTGCTCAGCAACAACTAAAACATCGGTGTGTTATCAACATTGTTCTCATGCTAAATCCAAACCACAGCACTGTACCAGCTGCTAGGAAGGAAATATTAACTCTATCCCTGCTGAAACCAGGACAGAGGGGAAGTTTAGATTTACAGGTTATATCCACAGAGCTGACAGCTCTTGCAGGACTGTCCTGTTGTGGTTCAACCAGCAGCACCAGAAATGCGTCCCAGTGATCCGGTTTATTCACCGATTTTACTAGGAGAAAGTTCTCTGGGCTGAGTTATCATGGAAGCAGCAGCAAGATACAGTTTTAGCTTAACTCATGGTGCCAAAATTTAATTTGCTTAAAAATTCTGTGTATGAAACGAGCTTAATCCTGCTTTGGGGCTCAAAACACAGCTTCATTTTTCCTATATGACAACAGTTTCCAAAAATGTCCTGCTTGCTACCTCATAGCTGAGACCGTGTCGGCTATTTTATCTTTCGGAGGGTGGTCACAGCATGTTCAGAAGCTCCCAGAGGTGTTTTGGGAAGGGATGATGGTAACGCGGGTCTATCCCAAACATGGTCGTTACGTAGAGCAGCATGGAAATCCACCTGCCTGCTGTCAAGCAGTTCTTAGTTGACTTGCTAAACAATTTAATTTTGAGTAAACTCCGTTTTTCTTGTTTTTCCAGTATTTCCAAAGCAGACACATGCGAGGTGGCTTAGCCAGCGCTTTGCCTTTCTTTGCATCAGAGGAAACCTCGCAGGGATTTCCCAGGTACCTGCCTCTTTTGCAGATGTTGTTTTTCCACGCAGACTGCACTGCTGATGCAGGATTTGTTCCTAGGGCGGAAGTTTTTGCTCTCCCTGAAGTTCCGCAGCGTGCCGTGGCCTTTCCCTTTCCTCTGTCTTTTAAGACCTTTGTGTCTTCGGAGAGCTTGCATGGCTGTGTGATGATGTGGCGTGTCCCCCCCACCCCTCCAACAGCTTGGGCGCTGGATAGCACGAATTCAGGATGGTTGCCACTCCATTGGAAAAGTCCTGCAGTTTTTTTTTTTCTAAGCGTTATACAAAATCACGAGGACTTTGAGACAACAGCACAGAGTTTACGATGGGCATCGCCACATCGGTAAACACAAAGGAGGGAGAAGCAGAGCAAGCAGGCCAGCACAGGGAAGGCTGCTCTCCCGGCGGAGCAGGAGCGGGCTGTCACGGCAGGCTCCGCTCCCGCTGCCTGCGCCCCAGGAACGGGCAGGGCAGGGCCGAGCCCAGCCCCTGGGGCAGCAGGGGCCGGGGC